TAATATCAGATCTGAAACTTTGAAGTTAGTACAGGAAAGAGCAGGGAATACTCTGGAAGCAATAGGTATAGGCAAAGAATTCCTCAGTAGAACTCTAGCAGCGCAGCAACTAAGAGAGAGGAGGGACAAACGGGACTACCTGAAATTAAAAAGCTTCTGCACAACAAAAGAAATGGTCTCTAAACTGAAGAGACCACCCACAGAATGGGAGAAAATATTCACTGGCTATACATCAGACAAAGGACTGATAACCATAATATACAGGGAGCTCAAACAACTAAACTCCCCGAAAATCAATGAACCAATAAAGTGGACAACTGAACTAAACAGAACTTTTTCAAAGGAAGAAATCCAAATGGCCAAAAACACATGAAAAAACGCTCACCATCACTGGCCATAAAGGAAATGCAAATCAAAACCACACTAAGATTCCACCTCACTCTGTTAGAATAGCCATCATCAAAAACACCACCACCAACAAATGCTGGCGAGGATGCGGGAAAAAGGAACCCTCATATACTGCTGGTAGGAATGTAAGCTAGTACAACCACTTTGGAAAACAATATGGAGGCTTCTTAAAAAACTAAACATAGATCTGCCACATGATCCAGCAATCCCACTCCTAGAGATATACCCAAAGGAATCCAACTCAGGTTATTCCAAAGGCACCTGCGCACCCATGTCTATTGCAGCACTATTCACAATAGCCAAGCTACGGAAACAGCCAAGATGCCCCACTACCCACGAATGGATTAATAAAATGTGGTATATATACACAATGGAATTTTACTCAGCCACAAAGAAGAATAAAATTTTGTCATTTGCAAGTAAATGAATGGAACTGGAGAACATCATTTTCTAAGCGAAGTTAGCCAGGCTCATAAGGCCAAAAATCACATGTTCTCCTCATATGCGGATTATAGACCTAAAATAAATGCAGTAATATTATTGGACATGGGTCACACACTAAGGAGAGAATGCATATAGGAGGAATATGGAAAGGGAAGGAAACCCAAAATTTGAAAGTATTTGATGTGCCCAGTGTAGAGAAGCTAATATAGTAATCTTAAACTGGCAGAGGTCACTATGGGAAGGTGACTGGGAAATAGTGAGGAGGTCTGGTAGAGATGAATCAATGTGGGTTGTAATACACATGTGCATGGAAGCAATGCTAGGAAACTCTCTGTACAGCTATCTTTATCTCAAACTAGCAAAAATGCTATGTCTTTCTTATTATCTCTTATGTTTTCTCTCCAACAAAATTGGAGAAGAGGGCAGAACAAGTTCTGCCTGGAAGTGAGGGGGTGGGGAGGAAGAGGAGGGAGGCGGGGAGCAGCAGGGGAGAGATGGCCCAAATAATGTATACACATATGAATAAATGAATAAAAATAACAACAACAACAACAAAAGAATAATGGATCCTTTATTCTGGAGATTACAAGTTTCCTCAGTTTAGGGTAAAAAAAAAAAGTTATCACAAGGAAACCTTTAAGAATCACCTTATTTCAGACTTGAGAAAAACAGGAACAAAAATAACAAAATCACTCTCATTCATAAAACAGAATAGGAAATATTTCAGGAAGAAGAAAAGAAAGGGTGGCTCAGATCAAATTGGGATTTCTTAAGAAGAAAGGCTGCAATTTTAATGGCCAGCACTGGAAAAGGACTGGAACAGCTGCAGAGGATCCAGGATATAAATCACTACTCAGAAGCATCCTCTAAAACCTGCAGACAGGCAGTTAATGATGGGAGCATCCTGGGGGTCTCCCTCCTGGAGACCTGGGATGGCTGCCTTGTGGTTACCTGAGATGCAGGCAGATTTGAGAATGGAAAACCAGTATTGACTTCTCACTGACAGAGATAGCATAGGCAGCTAGTGAGACACACTCCCTGAGAGAACGTGATCCCTCAACTCCCAGGGAGGTACAGGACAGGTGAGACACACATGGGATACTGGAGACAGCCTGGTCACCACAGGCCTGGCCAGATCTGACTACAGGCTGTGAGACAAAGCCATCTTTGCACACCCCCACCCTACTGAGCCTCAACATGGGCTCCCAGGGAAGCCAAACCAAAGCATTTCCTCCTGTCATTCATGTTTTCTGTCAAGATTCTCTCATTTTGGCTAGAATCATGTCTGACACACACTGTGGTTTCTTAGTAGAAATGCCTCAGGGGCAGATAGGTTGCTGGGGTTGAGCAGATGCTGCAGAAATAGATGCTCAGTTTTAAAACTGGGATGAGTTGGTCAGACTTAAACAAGGTCATTGCTCTTTCCTCCCAAATATCCAGAGACAGGAGTTGGTATTTGGCACTCTGCTTTTAAGAGATTCCATTGTCAATTCATATCCTATGGTTAATTCCTTCTGTAACTTGATGATTTGGAAATAATACATAAAGGTAATTAAGAAGTACCAACTTGCTATATGATCTACTCAAACAGTAGTCTGCTTTATACAAGAAATGAAGATAAACATCCTCTTCTAAGGCATGGGGTTTGGGACATGAATTGAGGGAAGATGTAGGCTTTCTCACAGGCCTGCTTTACTTCACAGCTCTGCATACAGTCATCCTGTTTAGGAGGGCACCCAGATTAAATGATGCTAAGGACACATACCCACTAAATACCATGTGGATTCTGAATTGAATCCAACACATTAGAAGGACAACTGGTGAAATCTGAATAAGGTCTGCAGATTACTTAATAGTATGAATGAAATTTTCTGGTTTCAGTCATTCTGCCACAGTTATGTAAAATGTTGACATTTGAGGAAGCTAGATGAAGGACACAGGCTACTCTGCGTACTATTTTTACAAAATTTCTACAAATCCAATATGATTTCAAAATAAAAATTTTCAAATATCTCTTCCAACATAACATATATGCACTTTTTTTTCTTTTTTTGCCAGTACTGAGGTTTGAACTCATGTTTGCCAGGCAAACAGCTCTACCATTTGAGCAACTCGACCAGCATTTTCCTGTATTGGGTATTTTCAAGATAAGGTTTCATGAACTATTTGCCCAGACTGGCTTCAAACCACGATCCCCCCCCCCCCGCCCCATCTCTGCCTCTGAGTAGCTAGGATTATAGGCGTGAGCCACTGGCGTCTGGCATATGCACTCTTTTTACCACACACTCATGCACTGAAAGTAATAGCTTTGGATTCACTTATGACACTAGTCATTCTGAGCTGGTAGCTTTCAAAAAACTAATGCATTATAATTTATAAAAGCAAAAATTTAGAGATAATTTACATGCCCAACAATGAGGAATAGACTAAAATAGTGCAGCTGTCATTTAAGTCAATGACAAATATATCTCCCTAGAGCAACACTGAATCTTCACCTCCAAGCACAATACCACACACATAGCTGGAACTCTAATATCTGATACAAAAATGAATCCAGAGGACAGGCATACTAGTACATGTCTGTAATCACAACTACTTGGGAGGTGAAGACAAGTAGGATCATGGTTTGAGGCCAGCCAGGGCAAAAATTGCAAGACCCCTATCTTAACCAATGAGCTGGGCATGCATGCCTGTGTAGGGCTGTTCCCTGGACAAAAATGCAAGACTATCTGAAAAATAACTAAAGCAAAAAAGGGTTGGAGGTGTGGCTCAATGTCAGTATCCATTTGGTGAACAATTAACCAACCATTTAAAAAGCTATTTAAGAATTGTTAGTGATCAAGGAAAATGCTAAGTGAGAAAATGGTGAGAAAAAAGCAGAATTCAAAGTGATATAAAATATCCCAACTATGTAATACACAGACTTATATAAACAAAAACTACAAAAATTAGGAAGAAATGCATCAAAATGTTAAAAAAAAATTGGTAAAAATACTTTTCTCTACCTTCCAAGTTTTCTACAAAGAAAAAAAAAGTTTTACTAGATTTATTTAAATACATATACACTCCAATTTACCAGGCCTCTTCTATACCCTACATTATTTTAGATCTCTCATAAATTCCATTTATCTGCAATTCTACTACTCTTTCAACAACAGCTGGTCAGAACAGATGATCAACTTCCCATGATACAGTCATGGCACTGCTGCATAAGGAGGCTTCAGTCAGTGAGGGGAGGCATATAGGATGGTGGTCTCATAAAATTATAGGCCTAGGGAGGTCTAACACTAGTGTAGTCTCTTTGACTCAGAATTTATCTTGGTTAAACACCGAGTCCCCTAAAGCTAGTGTGACTTTACACAGAAAAGTACACATCTCATAATAGATTTAATTTTTTTTTAATCCCTGGATTAGATATAAACTCTGCAGGATTTAAAGGAATGTGATACAACTGTGTCTGGAGTGTGAATAAACCTCAGCTGTACTTTTTAAGTCAGGGACCTCCGGGCAAGGTCCCAGCTGTCAGGCAGGGTATTCACAGGCAAGCACGCACAATGCAGGTGTGGTGAGGGTACCAGGACAATCCAAGGCGACCAGGCCATCCACATTTCTCAGGTGTCCTGGGCACTGCCAACTTACATCTATTATTTAAACTGCACCACATGCCCCAGTCAGAAGCCTGGACACCTTACACCCGAGGTGAAAGAGAGGGCGTTATCCTGCAAGCTCGCTCCACACAAACCAGCAGGGACGCCCCTGTTCCCGGGACGGCCTGGAAAACCGTGGATCGCTGGCCACCAGTGAGTTGGATCTCCCCAAAACCGCCCCACTCATGACCCCTTCCCCAGGATCCTGCATCCGGACCTCGCCAGCCCGGATTTCGGCCTCTCCGCCTTTCCTCCGCCCCTTGCCCCCGCACATGTCCCCTCCCCAAGCCTCGGCTCCCCCGGCTGGCACCTGCGACTAAACCTTCTCTCCTGACACCCCGCCCAAACACCCCCCGCGCTATCCCGGTCCAGCCGGCCCGTCTCTGCCGGCCCGGGGAGGCGCCCGGGGAAGGGAGGAGTGCCGGTAGGCGTCTCCTGGCGGGCGGACTGCAGCCGAGGCTCAGCGCCGTACCGGGTCCGGCGGTCCCTTCTCTCACTCACCCGCCGCTGCAGCCGCGTTCCACGTCTTCAGGGGCGGGCCCCGGACCGGCTAGACCCGGAGGCCGGGCGAGCTGGACACTCGGGACCGGGGACGGGCGGGGCCTGCGGGTCGGCGTCGCGGGGCGTGGCGCGCGTGGCCCAACCTGAAGGCGGTAACGCGCAGACGGGGGGCGGGGCCTCACTGGCTGTCACTCCGAGTGGGGACGGGACTGCGGCGGGAGGGGCCAGTTCTGTAAATCAGGAGGGGGGCCGAAGAGGAGCGGAGAGGCGTGCCTAGTGGGCAGTGGCAGCGAATGGGGCGAGCCCGCGGCGGGGGAGGCGGGGCCTCGCTGGGGCGTAGCGCGGAAGAGGCGGGCCTATCTAAGCTGTCACTTCAAGCAGGGGTGGAGCCTAGCTGGCTCGGGTGCCCAGAGAGGTCGGTACGCGGGAAGGAATATGAATCCAATTTTCTGCTCATTTTCAGGTACTAGGACGAACCCCATTTTGATTGTAACATCACCTTCAAGTGATGAAAACCCCCAATCCGGTATGTGATAAAACCTCACGCAACTAAAGCCAACTCCCTTCCAGTGGTCTATAGGGTTTCCCGCCCCGCCTCTCCTTACCTCTTTGAACGCTTCTTTTATCTTTCCACTTACTGAGCTCAGGCCACTGGGTCCCCTTGCTTTTCCTAGAACTCGCCAGACATCCTCCCATTTCCTTCCTGGGGCCCTTGCCCTGGCTGTTTCCTCTCCCTAGAAAGCTGTTCCCCCATAGCACGTAGTTTACTTCCTCTGCCTCAAGTCTGCTTCAATCTCAGCTTCTCACTGCTGACCATCCTACTTAATACCTGTTCTCCTCCCTACCACTTCCCTACCTGCCCTCCTATTCATTCATTCCACAGCACTCAGCACCTTTGAATGTTCTATATTATGTTTATTATCAGTCTCCCTAGAGTGGTAGTAGCTTCACAAGGGTAGGGATTTTTGTCAGTTTTGTCCACTAATAGATCCCCAATGCCTAGAACAGCTTTAGGTTCACAGTAGACAAGCAATAACTCTGGAAAGAAAGGAAAGAACAGATGCTTTCTCCTTCCACAAGATCCAGCTCAGGCCAGAAGGATGCCTCAGTCCTGCAAAGGAAAGAAGGCTGGTGTGGTGTGTTCTTCACCCCTTCCCTGGATCCTCCAAGTTCAAGGCAGGAGGGAGGGAGACCAGGAGACTACTAACTACTTAGTGGGGGCTGTTTCTCTTTCTTTTTAGACCCCTCCCCATCCCTGTGCTCTCATGGAAGTTCAGCTACTTTACCGGCCAGTTCTTCTGTCACGATCTTTTTGCAGCTCCTGCTGGATATGTCTAGAAGTTCTTTCTCTTCTGAAATCAGGACAAATTGTTCAGGAACTTCAACACATTCAGATATTACCCACTAGACTTTGTTTTTCAATTACACTGTTCATATCTTCTCCTCCCCTAAACTTATGACCTTTGTTCTATATAACTTCATCTTCTGTGGTTTATTCAATAGGAAGAATTAGAAAAAATAAATTTTAAATGGAAATATTAAAAGTTTCTTTGACCTGGACAATCTTATTTCATCTCCATAATTAAGGTGGCACGGTGGCACATGCCTGTGGTCTGAGCTGGCAAGTTCAGGGTCAGCCTGGGCTACATAGTGAGTTCTAGTCTGCATAGTGACACCCTGTATCAACCTCCCAACCAAAAAACCAAAAAAAAAAAAAAGCAACAGGGGAAAAAAAACTTTCTGTTAAGTACAACAAATTGTTGGACAACACAGGTGGCAGAACTGAGTTAATAACATGGATTCTTGTATTCATTATCTTTTGTGATCTAACAAAATAGCTACAAAGAATTAGGAATTCTCTTCTCCACCTCTCTCCATTTGGGGATTTTCTCTATGCCATCTGTCTCCCAAGAGTCCCTTTTCCAAGTTCCTCTGTCCAGAAGGACAGATTTTCTCTGTCTTAGATGTCATGGTTCTAATAGCAGTGCAGCTTCAAGACTGGGGCCTGGCCTCAGGGAAGGGGAGGCAAAGGAAAACAACTAGTAGTTTCCAGCACTTTCTCTAGCTTGCTTCAGCCTTTTTCCCAGTCCTGTGGCTATGTGGTGAGGTTTCTCTCAGACTCTTTTCTGACAATGTCTGGTTGGCAGTTCCAACCAGACCTGGTTGGAATGGTTTTGAGGGCAGAACCATTTTGTTCTGCCCTCAGATCAAAGCCAGGAGGTAGTGGAGAGAAAAAACAAAACAGGAATCTCACCACCTCCATATTACTTTCTCTTCAAGTTTTGAGTTCCCTGCCCAATCTTCCTGCTATGATTTACTTTTCAGAGTCCTTGAGTAGTTGCATTTATATTTTATCCAGAGGTTTCAGTGGTAGTCAGTGGAATATAAGTTTCTGTGGACTTACTGTATTTTGGCCACAAATGGAGCTTACCAATCTGATAGATGACAAAATGTTTTAATTTGCATTTCCCTTAAGAGTGTTAACATCATCTTCTCATGTTAAAGAGACATTTGTATTTTATTTGCCATGAATTATCTGTATACTGTGTTCAGTTTTTTACTGAATATAGAAACTCATTACACAATAGTAAAAGTCGTCTTTTTCTTCAATGTCAATGTCAAAGTTTTTCTCAGCTTGTCTTGTCTTTTGACTTTTCTTATGCTGTTTTGCTTGTTACGTTGTTTTGTTGTTTGGCCGTGCAGATGTTTTCCATTTCTAACTAATCAATCTTACCAAGCTTTTCTTTTGCCACTTACTGCTCAGTTATATCATACTTAGAAAGGTCTTTGCCTCTCTTAGATTACTTAGAAAATTCTTCTGTTTTTTAAAAACCTTGTTATGGTTTTGCTATGAAGTATCCCCAGAAGGTTTATGTGTTCCCAAACAGCTTCATTCCCAACAATTCTCAAGCTCCCTTGCTGTTTTCTCCTATGGCCATCTGAAATGAACAGTTTACTGAAGGGGAGACTTCAGTGGCTGCTACAATAGGTGGTTATGATGGGAATGAGGGATGCAAGAACTGTTGGGAGAGGCTGAACTTCTATAACTATGCTGGAGAGTTTAAAGAAAGAAATTGTGTATTATAAAAGCTTCAAAAATTAAAGTCTTATGATTCTGGTATGGAGATAAACCAACAGATTGATGGAGCAGAAGAGAAAGCTCATACATATAGAAAGAAATTTAATATATGATAATAATGACATTTAAAATCAGTAGGGGAAAGATGGGTTCATTAAATTGGATTAGGCAAATATGTAGCTTTTCAGATATAAAGTTTGAAGCATTCCACTTGCCTCATATCAAAATTAATTCCTGATGGAACAAATTTTAAAAGAAAAAGAATAGCTGGGTGCTAGTGTCTCATGACTATAATCCTAGCTACTCAGGAGGCAGAGAGCAGGTGGATTGAAGTTATTCCTGGGCAAACAGTTCTCAAGACCTTATCTCCAAAAAATCACAAAAAAGGCTACTGAGTTGGTCAAGCAGTAAGAGCACCTGCCTAGCAAGTGTGAGTCCATGAGTTCAAACTGAAGTGCCATCAAAAAAAAAAAGAAGAAGAAGAATAAAACCATCAGGGCATATTAATCAGACTTTTCATCCTTGTGACAAATACCTGAGGGAAACAGTTTTAAAAGGAGGAAAGGTTTATTTTGGCTCATAGTTTCAAAAGTTTCCATGGTCACTTGGGCCCATCGCTGTGGCCCTGTGGTGAGGCAGAGGACCATGGCAGAGAAGGCACAGTGGTACAGAACTGCTCACCTCATGGAGGCTGGGAAGCAGAGAGAGAGACAGACAGAAAGGTAGAGAGGACAAGGTGTATCTTTCTAGGCATACCCACAGTGGCCTATTTTCTCCAACTAGATCCCATCTCCTCATTCCATTACCTCCCAATAATACCATCATTACAAATCCAGAACTGTCATGATCCAATCACTTCCCCAAAGCATCAGGTCTTTATTGGAGAGAAAGCCAAAGAACAGGGGAGAGGAGTGTCTCTGAAGCAAGCAAAGAACATGGATTAAGGAGAGATAGTGCCACATGTTGGTGTTAGGTCAAATGAGATGAGAACTGAGAATATAAAATAATATGACATCCTTGGGATGAACATATCTGTCCTTATCAATTCTTGTGAATGTGCTAATATCACTTGTGAATAAACAAATATGTTCAATTTGATGAAATAAAACTCAGCTCTAAGAAACACACCTAAAGAAATTAATTCAAAAAGTTTTAAAGTAAAACGGAAAGATACATAAGCAAATATAAGCACAAATAAAGCCAAAATCTTGATCTTAATAAGGTCGAATTCAGAGCAAAACAACAGCAAAAAGCAATAGGAGTTTAGAATGCTAAGGCATAGAATTCTTGATAAGGTAACACTCATGAATATGTGTATACCAACTAACATTGCTATTCTTAAGTGTCCTAGGAGTACCCCTGCTCTGAAGTCTTCCCTCTGGCTATTCTTCTGGGAACACTCTCCCCCAGAGCCCAGAATGTTCCTTCATTTTCTTTAAGACACTGTTAGAGAATGTCATTTTCTCACTGGGTCCTACTGTGGCTCCCCTGTTTAATACTGCAACCTACTCTATCTCATCCTTTTAAACATTGTTTCCATTCCTATTCTTCCTGGTCCTTACTGAGTTCTCTTTAGTGCCTAGTCTCTCATGGACTGCTTCCAGTTCTTCCTTGTTTCTTTGATGGCTTCTTTTTCAAGTGCTACCAGCCCATGTTTCATCTCCTGTTGTCTCATCTTCTCTTGAGCTACTTGCAAGAGCTATATGTTGGAAGGGTCCAGGTTTCTGTCTTGGAGTTTGTCTTACTAGTCAGGATTGAGTGGCTCAGTTGTTTTAGCCTGGTCCATTCCAAGTTAAACTATAAGCAGCTGGAGGGCTGACCACAGTGCAGTCTTCTCCTCTCCCTGCTCATTTGGAGACTGCTTCCTTCAAATATAAAGCTTGTCCATCCTCCTTTTAGCTCTGCGCATTTGACTTCTACACTTAATCTCTGCATGCTGCTTCTGGTTAGGGTTTGGCCTTGTGCACTCTCTCCTCCAAGCCCTTTAACCTAGAGTATCCACCAGAGTTAGATAAGTCTTAGATCTGC